CAGGGATGTTGACAAGGAAGAAAGCGAAGTCCTACTCAGAAAAGATTTGGGGGCGGTGAGCCTGTGGCCAAGTGTTCGGAAGCCAGGACATGGAGTTGGGAAGTCAGAAGCAGGAAGGAAGGTCCTGTCCCGGCCCTGGAGGGGGTCGAGCAGGGACGGCGGGCCTTTATTGTCCTGTGTCGGATTCAAGCACCGGCTGGCTTCAGCGTGGCAACTGCTTATGTTTTTATGAATTTTCCTTTAACCTTGGTCACAGGGACCATAAGATCCAGGTGAAGCATGTTGTGGGGCAGGTGATCTGGGTCCAAAGCCACCTCTGTAAAATCTTACTGTGTGACTTTGGCCAAGTGACTTTACTTCCCGGGTCTCTGTTCCCCGGTTTGGAAAAGGGAGAGATGATAATGGTACCTATTGGTACTTAATGACCCATAAGGTCATTAAGGGGCTTCTTTGGATAATCTAAGGGGCCTGGTATAGGGAAATAATCGGAGACAACATCACAGACAACTTACCATGGACAGGCTCTGTCCTAGGTGCCTTGCAATGTACTGGGCCCTCACAGGGACTTTGGAGGCTCTTACATTATCCTTGTAAGCAGCAGAAGGGCCCGGCTCTCTGCAGAACCAGAGGGCTGAACCAATACGCTATGTGACTTACAGAGAGTAGCCACCACAAGCTGGGCCCTGAGTTCCAGGCCACAGGGACATAAAAGTCCACTGGACATGGGCAATTCCTCCAGGAAGACTGATGGCCACCTGAGACCCTTTGCTCAGAAGGAATTCATCAGGCCCAAAGCCTCCGAACTCCTAAGAACAGAGCAGAGGCGGAGCTGGAGAAGGACTGAGCTAGGTGGTGACCAGCCGTGAGCACAGGGTACTGGGGAGCTACCGAAGGTTTCAGGCAGGGGAAATGGCATGACTGCAGGCCAGGAGGAAGCAAACCGGGAGATGGAGCCCTATAGGGAGACCGCTGGGATATTCTGAGCAAAAGAGAAGTCTGGGGTGAGAGGGGGAGGTTCTGGAGGGGAAGCGGTGCTGGACAGATGGTTTCCCTTCCTGCACCTTTGGGTGAAGCTCCCCTGGCCAGAGAGGGAAGCTGTGGTTGAGGTTGGCAGAGCTGACCCCCCCGGCCATGGACCGATCAGCTCCAGACTCACAGGGAGGAAAAATATGTAACTCACTGAATTTTGGGGTCTTTCTGCTACATCAGCCTGGCTTGTACCCTAAGTCACCGTGTGACCATAGGCAAGGCATTTTACTTCCGTGGGTCTCTGTTTCCACATCTGTAAAATGGGGTAATACTAGAACCCACCAAGATTCAGAGATGGTGCATGTAAAACCAGCATGGAGGGGGCAGGCAGTCAGCGTCCTGTGTTCCCACCCAAGTTCCCCCTGGTTGACCCTGTGTGGGAGACACTCCCAAGTTCCCGTGGAGCCTGAGGGCAAGTCCCTTATTTTCTCTTCCTTCTTCTGACCCCCCCACTGGCACCCCGTGCAGGGCAGTGGACACAACCAGACCCTTGACTCAGATTTATACCATAACTGGGTCTGGGTGACTTTCAGACAGAGGTGATCCCTCTCCTGTATTTCGCAGACTGGGAAACTGAGGTCTAGAGAGAGGCAGGAATTTGCCCCAGCTCCACAGAGACTCAGGCAGAGTGGTGGCTGGGTTCAGTCCTTGGTGGGCACTGGGGGGAGGAGTCATCTCTGATGTAAGTGCCGGGTTGGGGGGGGGACTCAGCCCCACCCCGCTCCCCCTTGCTCACTGTGGTCTCAGCCACCCTGGCTCCCTTGCAGTTCCTCATGGTCACCTCAGGGCCTTTGCAATGACTGTTCCCCCTAGTGAACTTACCGTTCCCTGGCTGCCTCTTTCTCACTGTGTTAGTTAGTCCCCACTTTAGGCACTACCTCTTCAGAGAGGGCTTTCCCTGATCGCCGGAAGCTGGACCCTCTGCGATCTGTTTCTGCCTCCTGTTTATTTTCTTTACTTGCCATCGATTGTCAATTTAGTTTTACAAACTAAAAAAAAAAATTGGGGTTTGGGCCCGTCTCTCTCTCTAGGCTGTTCAGTTCTGTGAGCACATGACCGTCTTGTTTGGTCCACCCCCATCACGCAGCCTGGCCTTGACCCATACGTGTTGTGTGCATAAATGAATCTATACATGAGTGGATAAATACGTGAGCGAATGTTCCAGGCCTGGATGTCCACCATCACATGGAATTTGCATGATTTCCCTGTGTGGTAACCCGACTCCACTCTCCCCACTGTGCAGATGGGAGAAAGGGAGGCTCCAGGAGATCTCACGGGGTAAGGCAGGAATGTGTCCGATGCTAAAGGCCATTGGACATCCCTGACCTCAGGACCCACGAGAACCTCAGTTGAGCAACTCCTTGTGAATCTATCACAGGGAAGTGACACATTTATCCTGGACGTGGCCTGGACCAGACTCCATTCTCCAAAGCACCGCTCCATCAAAAGATGCCCATGTCGTTGTTGCCAACGCAATGCCGTTAGCTTTCCGAAGCATCTTTAAATGCAAGAGGTGAAGACTCACACAGACACCGGGGCGGGGGGTGGGGGTGGGGATCTGGAAAATGGGGTCAGTCCCCCCAGCCACCAAGACAAACCATCCTGATGCTAGCTGCTCCCTTCCTCCCTGCAAAGGGCCACCTTTTACCTCGGCCATGGCTGTCGTCTCTGGGGGTGCCCAGTCAACTCTCTCCCTCAGCGTGGAAACTGCTTTCGCCGGGGACATGCAGAGATCTTGGGAACAATGCGATCTGCCTGTCTGGCTCCACCGGGACCTATCAGGTACCAGTGATAAAAGCTCTTGTCTTGGAGAGCTTTCCAGAAAGTTCCTTTGGTGCTTGACATAAGTGGAGGGGACACTCCCCCAGCAGTTTTGTGGTTGGTGTCAGGATGCCTCAGAGAGGCCTGGATGAGGGAGGCAGCTCATAGATGGAAGGTGCACTGGAGGTGGTGATTGGCTGTGCCACCTTGGATGAAATCCTTTCCCTCTCTGGGCTCTAATTTCCTCATGACTAAGATGGGGAGAATGCCGATCTGATGTAGGAAGAGGTGATTCTGGATATGATTCTGCATAGGATCAGAATCTGAATTCAAGGGACCTATGAATGCAGATTCAGGTATCCCCGAAGCCAGTTCCTATGAGTGGTGGCCCCCAGGAGATCCAGCCAGGGCCAGGGCCACACCAGCCATGCCCCCATAGGGCCCTTGGGCTGCCCAGTGTCCTTCCATTGGTCCCGTCTGCAGGACAGGACACCGTGGGTCAGCATCGCTGTCAGGGGACTTCTGGAGGTCGGCAGGTCCTCTGTCCTTATTGTACAAATGGGAAACGGAGGCTCAGAGAGGGCCAGAGACTCTGCTCCAGGGACACGGCCAGGACAGCGAACCAGGGTCTGACAACCCCGGGCGGGACACAGCTGTGTCCTGGGCCAACCCGGGGATGAGATGGAGCCTGGGACCAGGCGTTGGGGGGAGGGGGGCCAGGAGGGGGGCAGAGATGGAGAGAAGGCAAATGGGAGTCAGAGAGATGGGTGGTGGAAAAGCGATCGCTGCTTCCGGCCTGTCCAGCATCGCTGCTTCCGGAAACAGTGCCTGGAAACTGCTAGTCCGCATGCCTGGGGTGGCACTGACCCCAGCCCTGGTTCCAGGCCTGATTGGGTGCCCCAGGTCTGGTCAATCAGACTCACAGTGATAAGTACAAAGATGGGCACGAAAGGACCAGTCCTGGCTGGAGAAAATCATGCCCTTGCTGGAATC